GGCAGGACCAACTTGACATGACTAAAGGGAAGAAACCATGGAAAGGCTGGAGACGTGACTGAACTACAGAGAGAAAAAGGAACTAGAAAATCTGTGTGAAGTCACTCACGTCAACTGGAAGAAAAGGAATTTAGTACCTACAAATGTGGCACTGTGAAATGCACACCAGTACTTTTCATATAAAAGTATCACAACCCAGCAAACAGTAGTCAGGGTTTGCAGAAATGTCTGTCCATAATGTCCTCATCACCATCTACTGAGACTTAGTTCAGTGGACATGTGTCCGGTGCTTGTCCATATCATCTCATCTAGCCCTCAGAACAGCCTTGCCAATTATTCTCATTTAACACAGAAGCATCTTGAATTAAGACTCCAAGAGAAAAAATAATTTGCCCAGAGCATGCGGCTGACCAACAGTGGAGCCAGATTAAGACCTGGGACTTAATTGCTCAGCAGCAAACTCTTTCCCTCTAAAAAAACCAAGAAACTTAGGTCAGTTGAATCTCCTAATACAACACTGATATATTCTTGGCCTTGGGACACTAGGAAAATTGATAAGTGAGCTTCCAGCAGTTGTATTCCATTGGAAAGTAATTGCAAATAAAATAACAGAAGTTAGGGTTCTCAGAGTAGATGCCTGAGTTTTCACAAAACCAGAAACACAGAATGGTGTGTGTGTTTGGTTTGTGTGTTATATGTGTGCACATAGGTGCCCATAGGTGCACACATGTGTTACACGTGTTACATGTGAGCATGCACCCTAGAAAATATGGGGTCAGTAGCTTATAATTTGGGGGACACAGAGTCGTAGTGGCCTAGCAAGTGAAGAGTCTTGGGGCTCCCTAACGTCATGACAAACCCACCTGCGCACACATATTGTGTCCATGTATGGATGCATGGAAATCCTTGGAGGAGCCAACAGAGCTGTCTGTTGACCAGAAACCTCGACTCCATAGCTGAGTACGGTAGAAGTGCCTTTTATGGTTAATTCTAGTTATTTCTTTTTCTGGGAAGACAAGATTTATCAAGAATTGAATGGGCCAAGAATTTTTTGAACAGTGCTTTCTGAATTCAAGCCAATGATCATTAGCTAAGTTAGAGATACAGTGCTGTATGCAGCTCGTGCTCTTTATTTTCAGCAAGCAAATAAATAGAACATATTTTTAAATACCTTTATCCCAGAGAGCTTTTTGTTAACATTACTTTTTACATGCGCTCATTGGTGTAAATTGTATGAAGGGAGCAAGCTGGGTGTTGGAGGAACTAGGGTCAGTGGAGATTGATGAGGTGGAAGGCCATCTTTATTTATTTAGGAAGCTCTTCTAGATGGAGCACACGCTCTGTTTGCTCTAGAAGCCAAAACTAAGAACTGAGGTATATGAGGCTGCAAGGGAGGCCAGATTCCAACTCAACACAAGAACTTTCTACCAACTAGAGCTGTCCAAAAATGGCTTGCTTATGTTGTGGCCGACTGCCCGCCACAGGCACGCTCAGCCAAAGCTGCTTCTTGGCGCGGCATGGGGAGGCAGGGGACTTCAAACATAAGTTTGAGCTGATCTAAGAAACCTCTCAAACCCTCTCTAGACCCCAGATTGCAAGTTGTGTCAGGCACACACTCTTGACACACACAGGGCCTGCCCAGTGATGTCCTCCCTCGTCCCCAGGGTTGTATTGCATCTGTGCTAAGCCAGCCGCGTTCCCCAGCTGAGCTCCCACTTGGTGGGGGAACATCTGCAAATGGACTAGTGCAGCTATGACCACGTTAAACCTTCTTAAAAGTAAGCCGTTTCCTGGCCTGGCAGTGGGGACCCTGATCCAGTGCTCCCCACTGATCCAGGCACCACAGGTAGCTATGCATTCTGTCTCGCTAGTTCTCATAAGGGGCTTAAGATTCCAGCCAAGAGCAGAGTCTGCTGGGCCTGCCCCTCCCCGGGCTCTCTCCTGCCAGTTCCGAGAGGAGCCTTTAAGATGAGAGGCTGAAGAGAGCCAGTTCAGGAGACCTGGAGAGTACAGGCCAGGCCCCACTGGCTTAGCCACCAGGCCAGGGTGAGTGGCCAGAGAGGCCACGGATGGGTGTAAGCCCTCAGGTGACCTTTGCCCATGCTGCAGGGCAAACATAACTGACGTTGACCGGGCACTCCTTACGTTCTGCATGTGAGACCTCCCGGTCCACCTGTCTGTCCTAGATCACCTAATAATTGCACTGTTGTCACTGATGATAATGGTAGCAGTGACCACGGTGGGAACATATGCTGGGTTCTATGCTAGGATTGGCTTATCACATGGATTATCTCATTGAATCCTTCAGCTAATCTGATGAGGGAGATGCAGTTAGCCTGGCTATTTTCTCGAACAGGGACCAGAAGCCTAGGAAGATAAGGGACTTACTGGAACAATAGCCTGACTCCTGTGGTGGACTCTCCATTTGATTCCGTTGCCTCGTTGTCTTTTTATATGAGAGAAATGGAAACAGAAAAGAAAGTGACCACATTAGCCACCACCCCCCAGGGGCTTCTCCAGCCACAGTAGCCCCCCCCCCCCAAGGAGGGGCCAGGGAAGAAGCTGGGCCACGAAGGGTTTCAGGACCTTCCCCTCATTGGACCCCCAGAGCAGACTTCTGAGGTGCTCAGTGATGTTGCTTGCACTTTGCAGAGAGGTTCAGGGACTTGCTCAAGGTCACCTGGCGCGGAGGAGCTGGCCCCAACCGAACAGCCATGTATTCCCTGCCACGTCATCAGCCTCTCCGCAAACAAAGTCGACACCCTCACAGACACTAAATTTGTATTTCCTGGCCTCCCCTTTCAAAATGGATGCACTAATTACTGACCCTTTTTTTTACTAATAGTAATCATCAGGATCACATTTTTCAATGTGTGCGTTTTCTCTTCTGCATACTACCGAAATAAAGCCCTGCTTCAGCCCACATGCTCAAGCCATCAAGCGGGAGGCCCTGCAAATTCAGAGAAGTTCAGAAAGACATTACACTAAAGCAGCAGAAACAAAGTGTTGATTAGGGACTTATTTTGGTAAGAGATTAAAATATGGATCATTAAAATAGGACTGTATTTCAGGCTCTGGAGCCTTGCCTCATCAGAGACAACGGTGGATGACTGCTGGGTTTCAATGAGATGTTTGCTGAAGGCTTTTCAGCTCTAAAATGCAGTGTCCTTATTTATGCAAGGCCCCACCTTGCACAGGGCAGGTTTGAAAGTCTGGTTCCCAGCACCTGTGCATCATCTTGCCCATTTCACTAAAAGGAGAAGCCCAAGTGGCTTGGTGTCTTCCCCACTTTAAAGTTTTTACTCTGTATCATCATAGTAAATACTAGCTTATGTCATTACCAGCCAACAGTAACAGGCAGAGGAAGGAGCAAAGCCAGAGATGCCGGACTGTGTTGGAGTCACTCAGAAAGGGCATCACAGAACTGTGACGTGGTGCAAGAGATAAGAAAGCTGAGGTTTGCACAAAGAAAAAAGTACTGTGGAGTGTTTCTCTAGTGCAGGCTGAGTTGAAGAGAAAAAAATAATTGAGCACATCTACAGCCCAAAATATGTAGTTGAATTCAGTTGATTAAAGTATCTGTTCAAATGGCTAAAAATAGAGCTAAAAGCCCATTGTTTGGTACAATTGTTGACTGCATATTTGCATGTGGAAAGGCGTGGGGGGACAGCTAGAAGCCTGTGGTATTTTCAAGATTAATCACTCACCCCACGGGGTTTTGAGGCACCCACCTGCATTTTGAATGTGGATCTAAGCCAAAGGGATGAACCTTGATGGGGTTTTTTGAATAATTACCTACCTCAGTGGACACTTCAGATACCAAATATATCACAAGTGAGGACCTTGGTGCAGACCTGCCCTCCCCACCCCCTACTCTTGTGTCTTCTGCAAGGGGCTGACATCTAAAGATGATTGTCTAGATGCTGGAACTTTGGAGCAATGCCTGGGTGTATTTTTAGAGAAGGGAAGCATCCCAGAATATGCCAGTTCCTTATGGGCATCCTCCATGGTTATTAGCACCTCGGACCGGACTTGTGAGTTTTTTTCATATGTATTCTCTTCCTGCCTGGGATTTTTCTCTGCTGTGAGGATTTCTAGGAAGATTTCTGTAAGTTATCACTGGAACATCCAAACTTTCCTTAATGACTTCCTGATTCTTCTTTGAACCATCTACAGTGCAAGCAAGGATAGAGGTGACAAGGTTGTGTTTCACCAAAGTAATAGCAATGAGTGAGGATAGTTGTCCGGTACAGACTAGTATGTCTGGTGATGTCCCTTCACACCGCAGCTCCTGGACAGCTCCATAATGTGGAAGAAAAAAGGCTACTTGATTATTGTAAGCCTGATTCTAATTAATGACACAGATAGAGCTAACCAGGCTGGTCTCTTAGTTGTAGGGTTGTGAAGGGCTTTTGTTTTCTTTTGGCTCTTTGTGTTTTTAGACCTATTGGGGTGTGGTATATGACTTTGCTAATGAAAAGGTTCCATCAAAGAAGCCACATGACTCTGTCAGAGTTTCACAGGCTCTCTGCTATACCCGCTGGGCACCCTGGGGTCACTGGCATGCCTCCCGTGCTCACTCTGTCCTTAGCACAATGTCAGTCAAAGGCCAGTATAGCTGACCCTTGGACAAGGTGGGCTTGAGCTATGCAGATCCACTTATACATAAGGGTTTTCTTTTAAGTATCAATGAAAACAGTTCTGTAAATATATTTTCTCTTTCTTACGATTTACTTAATGCTTTCTTTTCTGTACCTTACTTTATTATAAGAATATCATATACAGTACATGTAGCATACTAGCATGTATTCATTGGCTCTTTATGTTACCTGTAAGGCTTCCAGTCAAAAGCAGCTATAAGTTTTGGGTAAAGTCAAAGTTATATGCAAATATTTGACTACGTGGGGTCAGTGCCTTTAAGCCTATATTGCTCAAGAGTCAACAGTAAATAGTTGGGAATGAAACACTCCCATTTCTCTATTTCCCTTTCTTTATTCCAGGTGACGTGCTGTATGAACTTCTTCAGCATATTTTGAAGCAGAGGAAACCTCGAATTCTTTTTTCACCATTTTTCCACCCCGGAAACTCTATACACACACAACCGGAAGTCATACTGCATCAGAACCATGAAGAAGGTATGAAGAAGCTCCTCTTTCCTTGCTGAGACTTAGACACCTCCAAGGGATTTCAGTGTTAATTCAATAAGTTGTTTCTATTCATGTGATCTGTTTTTCATTCAACAAACATTTAAATGGGTGCTTACTATGTGGAAGACCCTAAGGGAATGTCCAGGATGAATACGATCTGTTGGTCTTCTGCATCCTACAATCTAGGTGGAGAAATGAGATAGATACATAGAAATGTCAAAGCATAACTATAGTAGTAGGTATCATAAAGAGCTAGTGGAAGGAGAGTTTATATCCAGGTACAGACAGGAGGTCAAGTCAGCAGCCTCATGCCAGAGGTGATTCTGTGTGATCACTGAAGGTCCAACTGGATTCTCACAAACAGGAAGGATGTGGAGAACATTTCAGGCAAAGAGCATGACAGAGAATGGAGTAAGTCCTCAGAGCAGAAAGCAGACAGACGACTCAGGTTGTAGGCTTTATCTGGTTTTTCCTCCAACCCTTTGTTATGAGAAATTTCAAACAAACCCCAAATAGAGAACATAAGCTAAATAAAGCAGCAAACCAGCACCCTGTTTGAGCAATGATCAACAATTTGCTATTGCTGGTCCTGGGAGGTCAGTGTGGAACCAGGATGTAGAAGATTTTGTCGGAGGCAAGTGACAGGCTGGAGGCGTCACTGAAGGTTTGTGAGCTGGGGTAAGAAGAGGGGAGGGAAAGATGCCAAGCCTGTGAACTGTGTTGGTCCAGGGGTTTCCTCTTCATGCACCAAAGGCAGCTTTATCCAGTCCTTAGCTTGCTTATTTCTGACATCCCGGGGACAGTTACCCTCTGATGAGTCACAGCAGCTATAAAACCACTAGTAGAAAACAAGAGACCAGAAAAGAATTGTGACTGTGGACCTAGGTTCACAGCAGGTGTTTAGGTACAGAAATAAGGTCTAATAATCTCACATTGCATTTGGGTGAACCATCTGCCGTCGTGTCCCGGAGGGTCATTTGGTCATGTCCTCGTGCATGTGGGCGCACGAGGGCATAATTTTAAACTTGGACTTTTCCTTAGTACCAATTGGGGGTGGGCGGGAGGCACAGCCTTGGTCCTGGGAAGTGTTTCCTTAAGTTGATGGATCATCCCCCAAAGCTGGGCTAATATTTTTGTGTTGTTGGCAAATTTAAAAATGAGAAGTTATTTATTTTCTGGACGATGCTTCCCAAAAGAGAAGCCCGAGCCCAAGCTCACATCCCTTCTGCCCCGTGTGTTTCCCAGCCCCCATGGAGAAGAAACGAGTGTTTCTCGCCCACTGCTCCCTGCCTGGTGCTCTCCTTCTTTCCTCCTCTAGCTTTACCCCTGCTAAATTTAGCAGCTGTTCCCCACCCCCAGCTTGGTTTCTCCTTCTTCTGTTCCTCCTGCCATGTGTATTTCCGGCTTGCAAAATAGCCAGCAGCTCCTCCTGAGAAGAGGAGGTGGGTTTACTGAAGCTTGACATTAAGGCAAGAATCGTATTACCTAGTCTGCCTCTTCAGATACAAAGGGGGCGTGATGGGTTTCTCTCTCTCTCTCTTTCTCATTATTTCTTTAAAAAAATCCCATTTGGAATTTCTATTCCCCAGTGTGATTAGAGACCTAGGGTCTTCCCGCCTCACAAGCCCATCCTCCTGTGCTTCTTCTGATTTGCTGCAGACCTAGGTGTGTTGTCGCTGTTCTTATTTGCAGGAGATAATGAATTTAAAAAAGCCAGCTATTCTCTGAGCGACTGTCAACCCAGTAAATACAGACGCGCCACCCCACGTAATGTGGCGAGCTGGCTCTGGGGTGTTGTGGTGGTAGCGATGGTGAGATGCATGAAGAATGGAGCTCAAGGCCAAGGTCACGGGCCCCATGGGCCAGTTAGCCGCTTCAGACCCAGCTCTTCAAAGTAGCACGTTCTTAAGAGACCACTTCTCAAAGCTGTTGGCCAGGAAATCAGCTGAAAAAAAAATGTTCCCAGCCCCCTGCCCCTTCAGACAAGCTGGGTGAGCTCTCAGGCACAGGTGAGCAGCAGAAAGGAAGTGTGGGTCTCATCGGGAGGTGTCAAAGGAGACCCACACAGCAGGGATACTGAGAGGCAGCCTGTGCCCGCATTTCCAGCTCTGTGGGGCCACAGTGACAAAGGGCAATGACAAAGGGCTGACATGGAGAGGTGCGTGGTGACCCCCACCTCTGGGCACCAACCGTTTCTGCCCCTTCTTCACCAAAAAGAAAGACAACCCAGCTTGACTTGAATGATCTCCAGACATACCGCGCTTTTACAGTTGCTTGGGGATGGAGCGCTTTGACCTGGGCACATTAACAGAAAGCGCTGCACCTGAGAAACAAAGTCCATAACATGAAATTACACATGTGAAATGTTAGGTCCCCAGTGACTTCTTTCATATCAAGGGGGCCCCAAGCCATGCAAAAGGATGTTGCTATTGACTTGGCATGGAGATTGAGATGATGGAATGGAAGGAGAATGGGAGTGTCCCATAGAGACCAGACAGCCCCCGTGGGACCAGCCCAGCCCAGCCCAGCCTGGCACGGTGAGGTCTGCCAAGTGGAGCAGACAGAGATTCATTCAGCCCCCTGTGACCTCACCTCGCCACTGCCATCCACTTAGCCAGTTCAGACATTCCTGATGTCACAATGGAAATTTATGTACCAATACAAACGTATCTTGTTGATCCAGCCCCCCTATAAATCCCATATAGCTATATTAGGTGACAGTTCCAGAAGCTAGGGAGTCAGTGTAATTACCCAGAGGTTCCCGTCCAGGCTCTGAGGGCAGAAGAGGGTGACCTTACTCATCCACACCCTTTATTTTGTAAACATTTGTTATTGATTCAGTGAGTACCTCATTTTGAATTTGTGCCTTGGGTGAAACAGCCCCCAGTTATTATGCAGGAGCAGGAGATCCAGTGTTTTCACTCTCTCTGTTACTTGTGGGCAGAGAGCACATTATATAATGAAAGGAACCTTGTGAATTTTCATCCTTACCAAGACACCTGAGACTGTGAAGCAGGACTTTGTTCATAAGTAAGCCATAAGTAAGCAGGAACAGCACCATCCCACACAAACTGGGCCATGCAGTCAGCTTAGATAGCATTTTTCTCAAAAGGGGATCTGGAAGTCAGGAGAGACCAGATCTCATTTCTCTGACCCTCTGTTTCCCCATTTGTGAGAAGATTAGACAAAGTGGTCTCAAATCTCCAGTCTACATTTCCCACCAGTCTGACCTCCCTGGGTGACAAGGAAGAACATGACTGAGGCACATTCTCTTCTCAGGATCCTGAACTACTAAAATCCAGAATATTCTCCAGTGTCCCATTTGGTGTTGCTCAGAAACAGTAGAAAATCTCTTCTGTCTCATCCAGAACTGCTGATAAGGTGACCCCTCCTAGAAGTCAAACCAAGAGTAGCATCATCACTCGTTTCACAGTGAAAATCTCAAGTTAAGTGCGCTTCTTTCTCTTTGATTATTGTCTCTTTCTCATTTTAGCTACTTACTATGAATTCCTTAGGTGTTTTGGGTAGCTATGTAGATAGGAACCAGATAAACAATGATACTACTTCTGTCACCAAACCAGGAGGTGAAACATCTTTAGAGATTTCAGACTCATAAGTGGCTATACAGCAAATTAAGTTCGTCACACACAGTTGTAATGTCAACTGCCTTTGATACCTTAGGGCCCAAATTCAGTTACTTTCAGCTCCGGGCGTATTTTAAAGAAAGGCTTTGTCTGAAATGCTTGACTGCCATGATCTTTTGGTATTAGAACTGCTTACAGGCTCCCTAAAAACTCAAAGGGCCTTAGGAAGTACACTTCCCATCTGGGCTGGTCTCTGGGGTCAGCTCTGCAGTTCCCCTACCTGACCAGACTTGCCCAAGTCTCCAGGGAGAAAGAGAAAGATCTGTGTTTCTCAGATGTTCTCATGCTTCAGCCCTTTGAGGGTCCTGTGGTGATCTCAGCCCTGCTCTCTCTTGTTCCCCATCTAAGGGGCAGGTAATGATTTTTAATCGCTTTAATTTGAAAATATTCACACATGCTGTGCTATGATTATATCGGTAGCATTGGTCAGAGTTCAAAGGCGCAGGCTGTGTTCTGGGGTAGCCCTTTGTCCCTGAGTGGACGTGGAAATTGTAAGTGATGATGCCTCAGGTGCCCAGACTTCCTCCCTGATCTTCTTGCAGTTGGCATGATAATGGCCTGGTTTGTAGTGAGGCCCCCGGAAGTTTTTATTTATATGATCACTTGTTGAAGAAAATATTCTCCTCTCCACACCAAATCCAGTGGCCAAAAGACCAATTTGAAGGAAGAAAATCTCATACAATTTAATGAGATAATTAAAGAAGATGAAGTATATGAATTATTTCATAATAACAAAATAATGGCCAACATTTATTGGATCCCTATTGTGTACCAGGCCCTGTTCTAAGGTCTTGTGTGATTAAATCATATAACCTGCACAGCCACCCTATAAGGAAGGCAACGTTGTCCCTGCTTTACAGATGAGGAAACAGAGGCCAATAACAATAACGTGACATTACCCAGCACACAGCCCCTGTCATTCCCACACCTCTGCTTTCATTCATGTACATGAGCACACACACTCACAGGCACACATGAAAATAAAGCAAATGACAGACGATGAGTGGAGGAATTATGGAGCTGAGCATGCTAAATCAGGCCCTGTACTCTGCTTATAACTGATCTGTTTCTCTCTGGCACAATGAGTTAAAATCCAGCACTATGAAGCTGGCTGCAGCAACTGCAGCATAAGTTCGATCCCCGACCAGGGAGGTGACCCACATGGCATGGCCAACCTCTCCTGTCTCGCCCGCTGCTCCCTTCAGCAGTGTATTTTCAGTCAGTCTGCCTGTTCTGCTCCCCACCCTTTCTCTGGTGAATCCTCTCATCCCTGTGCACTTCTGGCCTGTACCCCAGTTCTTGTATGCATAAAAATAAATCTTAAAAAAAAGAAACTGCCCAATG